TTGCCTGAGCCCGCGGGTTCGAGACCTGCCTGGGCAACTTGGCAAGACCTCATCTTTACAGTAAATCAAAAAATTAGCCAGGCATGGTAGCGCATGCCTGTAATTCCAGCTACTTGCAAGGCTGAGGCAGAAGGATCGCTGGAGCCCAGCAGGTCGAGGCTGCGGTGCCAGGAGCAGCCACTGTACTCCAGTCTGGGTGACAGAGTGAGACTCCAACTCAAAAAAAAAAAAAAGAAAAGAAAAAAGTAAGATGCAAATACATATCATATGCTACAACTTCTGTGAAAGGAAAAAAATATATATATACATATTGCATATACCTGAATGTATATATCTATAACCAAATAGATGTCTGGAAGAATATCCAAGGAACAGGTAATACTGGTTGCACTAGGGGAGAGGAACAGATTGGCTGGGGCCCCAGCAGGGAGGAAGACTTAATTGTCACACTTCACACTTTTGGAATTTTGTACCATGTAGAGGTGTCTCATGTTTCCTAGCAAAAAGATAAATTAAATGATTTAAGCCAGGTAGTGTGCTAAATGCTTCATTTGTTTGTCCAATTTTAGTCTTGCTGGACACAGTGGCACAGACCTGTAGTTCCAGCTACTCAGGAGGCTGAGGCAGAAGGATTGATTGAGGCCAGAATTTGAGACTGGAGTGCACTATGGTCACGCTTGTGAATAGCCACTTCACTCTAGCCTGGGCAACATAGTGAGACCCCATCTCCAAAAAAAAGAAAAAAGCAATAAGTCTCAGCAATTCCACTTTGTCTTATGATCCTCATTTTATGGAGAAACTGAAGCCCAGGGAAGTTAATTGTCATTGGCAAGCGACAGGGACAAGATTCAAAACCCACACTGCCTATTGCCAGGTTCTTACTTGTGCACCACCCCCCAGCTTTGCTGTGGCTATGTTGCTGACCCTTGGCTGTGAGTCCCACTACCACCAACACCACCTCACTCCCACCTTGAGATGTTAGAGAGACAGAGAGCAGCAAGGGAGATAAAGCATGAGGAATAAGCTTTCCATTTCCTGCAGGAGTATGCTTCCAGGAGTTGCTACCCCAGAAACACAGAAGTGAGCCAAGATTTACATCTATCACACCAACGTTTGCAGGAAAAGTATGCATATAGTCTCCTGAGTACTTCTCATGTATCATATACCGTGTTTGCTTCACCTGCATGAACTTATTCTCAAAAACACTGGTGGTAGTGACTCTGGTCATTCCCATTTCACAGATGGGATCAAGGCTGGTCTGACCCTTTGCTTTCACGTTGCTGTGCCTCCCAAGTACTTCTGCTTCCCTGAGAGGACTTGGATTGATCTCTAACTGTTGGTCATGGATTCCCATGCGTTCATGAAAGTATTCTGGGGGATGTGTGAACTCTTAATGAGAATGTAGAATGTTGTGTTTATGTTGTGATGATTTTTATATATATATAAAGGTAAGCATACTGTAAAATCACCTGCACAGGCCTCCTCTCACAGGGTACTGGCCTCAGCAAACACTTCCTGTGTCTGCTCACAGCCCACCAGAAGCCACCTCAAATGACCATTTGATTTCCAACAACTGGGAAGCACTGTCTGTCTGGCTTTGGAATGTCCTGAAACCAAAGTGGAAACAATTGTCCATTGTCTACCCCTGTCTTCCTACTGGGCTTTTTCCCAAGATACAAAGCAAATTTTCTCTTTTGCATCAATAATTCACAGTGTAAAGACATTTTCAAAGTATGAGACTTTAGCATCTGGTGTCATTTTATAAGCTAAAACTCAGGGCTGATGTCAAGAAGTTGATGTGGGGTGTCAGAGACGTCCCCATGTGGCTGGCGTACATGCTGCCAGACAGGTCTGGAAGAATGCTCAACAAAACATTTCCTAGGAAACTTAGTTTTCTTTTCTTTCTTCTGGTACTTTTCCGTAATGTTCCAGTATTTTTTTCCACAGCGAGGATCATCATTTTTACAGCAACAATAAGAGTTATGGTTTTTACTTTTTTTTTTTTTTTAAATCTTAGGACCGTTTAATCCATCAGTAGCAAACGGTCCCAACACGTGTTCGGTTTGGCCGGCTCGATTTTTTTTTTTTTTTCTTTTTAACAAGGGAATCGAGGCTTCCAGTCCTCCCAGACACTTCGTCGGACTTCACTCTTTGGGTCTGGGAACCGACCGCCCAGTTCCCGGCGGCTCCTGCCCGACTCTCGCCGTGGCTCCGCCTCCTCCTCTCCGGCCCGCCCCTCTCTCCTCCCTCCGCCCGCCCCTTTCCCATCTGTCGCAAAAGACACTGCGGTGCTTGACGGCCGGCGGCGCTTGACGACTGGAGGCAACCTAGAAGAAAGAGGAAGCCGCGGTGACGGCTGCTGAGGCGGCGGCAGTGGGGGCCGAGGTGGGCGCCGCG